AAAAAGGAAATGGGATAAAGAGAAAGCAAGTCCAAAGAGAGTTACTTAACCATAGTTATGTTGACAGCATGACTAACTGAAAATACCCTAAAAGCTACAAAAGACAAGCTGAATCCAGACAAAAAGGAGACACACACAGAGGATTTGGTATCATGAGAGACTTAAGAACAAATAACATTACAAAACCTAGAGGGCATTTCTAAGATCAACTCATTGTGAAGACTAAACAGTTCAGTAACGGATACAACAAATGCCAGAACCCCAAAACAAAGCAGAAATGGAAAGCAGAAACAGGACCAAGTACAGAGAAACCAGGACAGACTTCAACAGCATTGCCATCCACCTCATCCCAACAAACAGTACAACAGACTTTTATTCAAACACACATGGAAAATTCAACAGAACAGACTGTCACTGTGTGTGCTGTCACTGCTCTTACTAAAAACGGTTACAGTCTGAACCTGACCAGTGCAGAGTGAAAGCACGGTGGGCTGAGACTGCTTGCCCACGACAATCGAAGACTGACTAGAGAGACTATAAAGGAGCAGGGATGTCAGACATTGTTCAGGGGATGCATAATGACTCAACTTTTATAGCACAGCGTGACACACGTTTCCTATACAACCCAGAAATTCTACCCTTAAAGACAGTCACCTAAGAAAAACAAAAACATGTTCACCCAAAGATGGTACATGCAAGTTTAAAGCAGTATTATTCATAATAGGTCTATCAGTATCTCATAAAAACATCTCCTCCGTATGAATCTGTGTATTGAACAAAGCTCCAAGGAGCTCTGCCAGGTCTGAAGAGTGAAAAAAACAATGATGACGTTCATCTGCATTAATGAGTGACTATAAAACAGTAAAATAAATAGGTGTGATGCTAGACAAAATATATGATAAAGCAACTAACGAAAACAAATGCTGCAGGAAAAAAAGCATGTACAGGGACAAAGGAAACAGAAGGTCTAAAATCCAAAGCTGGTAAATATGAGCACTGAATACAAACTTAAAATGGTATTTCAGAGTGGAGAGCTGGCCTATACACTCTAGGGCCTATAGATTACATAGATTAGACAGACAGAATGAACAATGGCTCTCTACCTTTTAATCCCAGAGACAAAGGTAATATAGAGTAAAAGTAGAGAACAATGGATCTCTACTGTGATCCTTTAATACAGTTCTTCATGTTGTGGTGACTCCAAACCATAAAATTATTTTATTGCTACTTCATAATTGTAACTTAACTACTGTTATGAGTCGTAACATAAATATCTGATAGGCAGGATATTTGACATGTGACCCCAAGGGGGTCGCAAACCCACAGGCTGAGAACCTCGACTTACGCTCGCCCCAAGACCCACCTGCAATTTGGGCAGAGTTGCCTAAAACGGGTGGTAAAGAGCCATGGGTACGCAGGTGATAGTCTTACGATCCTTCCTGCCTCCATATGAGGGGTGTAAACAGTAAACAAGCCGGGCTGGGGCAATCTTCTGCAAGTGTGCACAGCTGGACTCCACAGATGGTGGTGTCTGGCTCAGAGGCCAGCAGGTACAACACTCTCCTGATACTAAAGTCTGAGCCTTAGTGTCTCTATCTACAGAATGGAGATGACAGACAACCTCATCAGCTGCTGTGTTGGTAAAAATAGGACCACTGCAAAGCACTTGACGCTGCTTTACAGTTACCATTCACACATAACAGACTAAACACTCATGAGGAGAAAAGATGTGTTCTTTAAACAGCAATAAGCAGAAAGTAGCTTACACACATGCGCACACCACCTAGATTGATATCTGAACTTCCAGCAATTCACCATTATCACAGGTCCATAAAAACAAATGGAAGACAAAAAAACCAGACACTGCTCCAGGGACACTTCATCTGACAACTTCCTCTGGTAGCACACAAAGGACCTTGACGATCATCTAATATTGAACCATCAAAATCACCAGATTCTATGCTTACCAAGGTGTGGGTCCAAGAGGTGGGGCTGCTCCTGGTATTTGTCCATAATTACTAAAAGAAAAATAATGAAAGTGAAATCAGGTGAGCCTTAGAAACTCTTCTGTTGCCTCTCAGTAACTCTAATTGGACCGCTCCCTCTTCCTAGCTCTTGCAGTGCCCAGGGACACACCTGACTTCTTGCTGACAGATGCTACACAGCTGTACAACACCTGCCAGGTTCCTGAGCACCAGTGCGACCACACCTCCTGCTCTGTGTACCCTCCTCTTGGATCCTCTTCTCACACATCTTCTGACACCAACTGATTTTCTTCCCCACCCCTTTCTCCTCTCTCCACACCTCCACCTCCCCTCGTTAGACACCCTTCCACGTCTAGCGTCCCTCTAAGCAAGCATGATGCCCTTCCATTCCAGCAATTTTCAAACCAATGAACTACAATCTCCCTAACCCTGGCCACCTGCTTTCCAACCAGACCAGCAAATTAATGTTTCTACCCAACCTAATGATTCTCTGCCTCTGCAATTCTCACCTGTCACTTCAGAGTCCCTCAACTAAACCCACCACCCAGTTTTCCCCCAAAACTACAGTCCCATCACTCCAAACCAAAAAACACTGTGGAGAGAATTTTTTTAGCTAAGGAATCCATAACAATGATTTTGCTCAAGTACAAAATAAATATCAAAGGGCTCATTTGGACACTGTCCCAGTTTTTCTGTTGCTGTGACAAAACTGGCCAAAGCCAACTTGAGGACGAAAGGGTTTATTTGGCTTTCACAGCCCATCAGGGAGGACAGTGAAAGAATGAATGTAAGCAGCAGAAGCAGGACTTTGGAGGAGCGTTGCCTGCTTCCTTGCTCCCCAGGCTCAAGTTCAGCTATCTTCCTTAAACAGCCCAGGCCCACAGGACCAGGGATGGTGCCGCCCGCAGTGGGCTGGGCTGTCCCTCATCAATCAGTAATTAAGAGAATACTGCAAAGACACCGCATCGCCTACAAGCCAACCTGATGGTGGCAATTACTCACTTGAGCTTTCTTCCGGGGTGGGTCTACGTTTGTCAAGTTGACAAAAACCATTACAAACGACTGTAAAGGCCCACCTAAACGTGGAGAATTAGAACTACTAAAGAAACCTAACGGCACTGTCCATTCTCCTGCCCCGCCCGGAACCGAGGTCCTAGTTAAACCTGGCGCCCTGACTGCAGAGCCCCGGCCTCACAGCGGACCCCGTAGAGCACAGCCCCCAGGCCAGGCCGCTCCCCTCCGCTGCCACGAGCGCTGGCAGGTGGCATCTGTTCTCAGCGATTCCGCTCGTGCCCTGCCTATCCTCGGAGCGGTGCCAAGTGAGCGTGGCCCCTGCACTCGGCAGGGCCGGCGGGAGGTGTGGCTCCCCAGCGCCCTTCCTCCCAGCTGCAGGACCGCAGGACCGCGATCGGGGCCCCGCCGCACCGCGGAAGCGCTCCTCCGCCACCTCCCGGGCCGCGCGCTCGCCGTGCACCGCCGGCAGGCTGCTGAGCAGCGCGCGGGTCTCCGCGCTCTCGCCGAACGCCTCCAGGGCGGCGCCGCGGACCAGCGCGTCCTCCTCCACGTCCTCCTCCGCGGCGCCCGCGGCCGGCTCCTCGCTCAGGACCATCCCGCCGGCAGCCTCCTCCTGAACCATACCGGCACCCGGGAGACAGGCGCCGCACGAGAGCCGCCAGCTCCGCCCGGAGACCTTCGACCCCAGCTACGGGGCGCGCCAGCGGACAAAACAGCTCGCGCGAAGTCGGCTCGGCCGCAAACAACGCGTTCGTCAGTGGAGGGCGGCGCCGGGAAAAGGAAGCCTCCGGGGTTCTGCAGGGAGTGGTGGAGGCGGGCAGAGGTGCGGCCTGAGGAGTCGGCTGCTCGGAGCCTTGCACCGGGCCGGGCGAGGAACGGATTAGGGCAGCGGAGACCGCCTGGGGAGCGTGTGGACAGTTAAGGAAAGCACTGGGCTTGAGATTGGGGCGGAAACTCGGATATTTTGAGCTGGCGTGGACAGCGTAGGAAAACTGAGCTGGTAGAAAGGGCCACAATGGAGGAGAGCTGTCCGTGCGCAGAAGAGGGTGGATCCTGAGTGTGGGGGGGTCGTGTGGGCGAGGACTGAGAAGCAGGAGGCAGTAGGGGTGGGGTGAGGGGTGTTGTTCCAGGGTGAACCTTCCTGGCCACCCAGCGCAGTCCTTGCCAAGGGGTGTGGACTGCGCACTGCTGGGCCTGCGTTCACCAGCAGAACAGGCGTCACTGGAAAGCGGAGTGTGGAGCGCTGAGGTAGCTTAAGCAAAGCCTCCTGCCCTAAGCCTCGGGATCTGAGTGTGTAAGAGGGCCCCAGACTTAAGTAGCCCCCAGACCTTCGCACCACTGACTCCAAGATGAAAGTGCCGTTCAGGCTGCAAAATTTAGCATGTAGACAGCCCCCGGCAGACAAACTGAAAACAAGCTCCTTCAAAGTCCGTAAGGTCTGGAAAAGTCTCTAAAACCTTGCTTTTGGCTTCTGTAGTTCTGCTTCTGGCCAAATGTTGTTAACTGAAGTATGTTACCAGAACATGGTTTTTGTTCTTAAAATCTCACTCTGAGAAAGGGTCAGGGTCATGCTGAGATCCCGAACACCCAGTGTAGTCACTGGCTGACTAATAAAGAATTTCTATTGACTAAATCCGTATCAGAGCAGTCTTCACAGAAATGTTGTAGGGTATCAACAAGTTTGGTCCACACGTGGTGGAAAAAGAGAACCATGGGCTGTACTCTAACCTATACATACATATTTGAGTGCATGAACACACCAGATAATGTCTGAAAAATAAAACAAAAGTCTGGAGATGATTACAGGTAAATGTCCAGAGCCACGGGAGCATGGGCTTTCATTTCCTACTCAACTGAGGTACTCGGGACCCCAGCTGCTCTGGCGGGAGCTTGTTGGGAAGAGTGATGAGGTGGTGCTAGGCTCACGTACCTAGCTCTCTCAAACCTGCCTCACTGTTGCAGCCTCACAGCCTCTTGACAAATTTGTTGGAGGCCGACAAATTTAGCCCATTTAGGGGCCCAGTTTGGCTTTTTATTAGGTGCCAGCCCTCTGCTACCTGAGCAGCTTCCTCATCATTCCCAGGGACGGGCTTCTGTACTCCCGACCAAAGTGGTTCCAGTGGTTTAGATAGTTGAAGAGCTGGTACAGCAGCAGGCGCTTGTCGAAGCCTGGGGCCTTCGGAATCTTCCGGTGGTAAGCAGTGAAGAAGGATCTGGGGAACCCTCCAAACATCAATGCAATTGCCAGTTCAAATTCAGAATGGCCGTAGAAAGAGGCTGGATCATAAATAATGGGCCCCTGGTCATCCTCAGCCACATTTCCAGACCACAGGTCTCCATGGAGCAGGGCAGGGACGATCTCTATACCAGAAAACAGATCTGGGATCTTCACCTAGAAGAGAAATTTTCGCAAACATGGGACTCAGAGACCTGTGGGCTCATTTTCCAGAGCTTGGAAATAGGGCAGAGAGCCATGGATTCATCCAGAGTCCAAACAAATAATCCACCAGGCCCAGTGAAAAGGCTCGCCTGATTCCTGAATGCAACTCTGTCTAGCATTCTGCTCACTACCAAATGAGTCCAAAAACTAGAGAAAATCTCAGAGGTTGGTTTTATGCTCTAAAAGATGAACCAGTTTGGTCCCTACCCTCTAAACGGCTTTTCTTTATTTTTATCTGATTGCATCTCTTCTATTAAATGACATTTCTTTGTGTTCACCCTAGAGAAGTGCTGTAGCCCTTTCCATGCAGCTCCTCGCCTTCAGACCCCAACCATGAAATTATGTTGTTACTACTCCATAACTGTAATTTTGCTACTATTACTAGTTGTAATTTAAATATCTGATATTCAACCCCAGTGAAAGGGACATTTCCCCCACACACACAAGGAATACAATCCACAAATTGAGAACCACTGCCCTACACTGATAGATGAATTATGTTTCTAACATCCTGAACCAAGTCATGCAGGAACACACCTCTTCATTAAGGTTGATATGTAGGGTCTTTGGCAGAAGGGAAATGAGGGTAAAAGCAGACAAGTGAAATGAGCGAAGTCCTTGAGGCAGCATCTGTGCCATCCCTCCTCCCACCTACAGGGTAAGAAGGTGCTGGCTGATGTAGCTACGGCTTGATTGACCCACTCAACATCAGTCCTCCCTATCCTGACTCAGTCCCAAGCAGCTCCCACATGCATGTGGTAGGCTCTTTCCAGGAAAGTAAGTGTCGTGCCCACCTGGAGCCTTGACCACAGTTCTCGTGTCTCTCGGTCAGCATAGTCCTTTTCAATGAGATCCAGCTGCGCTTGGAGCCGGTGTTGCGTGAAGAACGTTGGCCAGTCATCCTGCCATTCATTCACCTGAGCAACCAGAGGAGAAGCCAGTGCTGGGACCCAAGGCCCAGGTCAGTGTTAGTGAAAACCCCAAGTGACCACACAGCAAACAGTAGAGAACCAAGTGCCAACATGAGTGGAATCTGAAACAATTTACCCAAAAGAGAGCAGATACAGAGAATCTCTCAGTCACCATTCCATTGCTGTGAAGAGACACCAGGAACAAAGCGTTTAACCGGGAACTTAGTTTTAGAGCTTTTGTCCATTCTCCTTGTGATGGGAACCCCACATGGAATGCACAGCGCTGGAGCAGGAGCTGAGGGCTACATCCTTATCCACAGGCAGAGAGAGAGAGAGACTGGACCTGGCAAGGGCCCAGTCCCAGGGACAGACTTCCTACAACTTCCTCCTAATCCTTCGATCCTTTCAAACACTTCCACACCCTAAGCATGGCGACTAAGCATTCAAACATATGAGCCTATGGCAGCCATTCTTGTTCAAACCACCACAGGGGTAAAGGGAACAAGAGAAATGAAAAATACTTAGGTATTTTTAGAGCCATCAATACGTAGAGCCGAACCCATCAAAAGACACACAGGTGCAAATGGTCAGAAACAAACACTCTAGTTAGGCGGAGCTGGCCTAGAGCCACCTCAAAGATAGAGTGCTTGCCCAGCACGCATGAGTCCCAGGTTCAACACACACCCACGTAAATGAGTGACAGACATAACAGATTGGAAAAACAAAGCAAGAACCAACTATAGGCTGGAGAGGTGAGCCACCAGCGATGCGTATTTGCGGCTCTGCCGAGGACCTGGATTAGGGTCCCAGCACACAGTAGCTCACAATCCTTGGTAAGGCCCAGCTCCAGAGGGAATCGCTGCCCGCTTCTGGCCTCTGGGAGCGCCGGGAGTGCGCCGTGCACACATGTATAAACATGCAGGCACACACTTAGGCACATAAAATCAAAAAGTCTTTAAAAGAGACAAGTCAAGTTCACATAAACCAGGTTATACACAAAACACGGAAACACACTGAAAGGATAGAAAATGTGGACATTGTTCCCAATAGGCGAAGAGAAATAATAAAAGAGAATGAGTGGCAGTTTATACCAGACAACACATACTTCGAAGCAAAGACTATCATCAAATACAAAGAAAACGTTCACACCAAAAATGTGGTCAAGTAAGGGTCTGGTAGCCCTGCAGGCAGCGGGGCATTGTCGTTATTGTTTGGGTATTACCTCTTATCCCAGCTGGCTTTGAACACCTGCCTCTGACTCAAGCTGCAAGGGTTCCAGGTATGTGCCACCACCCTCTATGATTCTCTTAAATTCTTATAACTCTACAACAGAGCTTCAAAACACAAGAAAATAAAACTGCTGGAACTGCAAAGATGAACAGATGAATCCTGACTTACAGCCTGGTAAGGTCTTAATTATCAGCATACAGCTAGTACATAAAATCTTAACTTTTGTGTGGTAAAGGTGACTGTATTCACAGACAAGGATTTTGGTACTTCGGAGGCTGAAGCAAGAGGACTTTTGGACCTGAGGTTGGTCTGGACATAATGCCTTCAGGAAGGAATTAGAGTTAAATGATGGAAATGTGAAGTCATAGTACGGCAGGACTGGAGGCCCTACACGAAGAGAAACACACCCACGTGGTGACAGGCGCCTTTAATCCCAGCACACAGGAGGCAGAGGCTGGCAGATCTCTTAAGTCTGAGGCTAGCCTGCTCTACCTATTGAGTTCCAGGCCAGCCAAGACTAAGGGAAGAAACCCTGCTTCAACAAAAACAAAAACAAAAACAAAAGAAGCAGAGAAGAGTAATACAGACAGGCACACCCTCACCAAAATACAAAGCAACCAAAACTTAGTGGTTTTAACAATGTTTCAGGATACAAGCTAGTGTATAAAAATCATTTTCCTAATGGGGGCTGTAACTCAGATGTGGATAATTTGCTAAGCACACACACAGGCTCTGAGTGCACAGAGATCGGAGAGGGAGGAAGTAAAAAGTGTGTGTGTGTACAGTTGTACACGAATGTGCACACATGTGGAAGAGGAAGATTACAGTCTTATTTTCCTCTGCTCTTTTCCACCTTATTGGGGTTTTTGTTGTAGTGGTAGTGGGGTTTTTTTTAATAATGTTTACTTATTTTTATTTTATGTTCATTGATGTTTTGACTGCATATACATCTGTGTGAGGGTGTCAGATCCCCTAGAACAGGTGTTACAGTTGGGAGCTGCCATGTGACTGCTGGGAATTGAACCACAGTTCTCTGCAAGAGCAGCCAGTGCTCCTAACCACTGAGCCATCTTTCCAGCCCTTGTTTTTGGTGTTTTGTTGTTTGGGGTTTTGTTTTTTGTTTTTTGTTTTTTTTTTGAGACAGGGTTTCTCTGTGTAGCCTTGGCTGTCCTGGACTCACTTTGTAGACCAGGTGTCTAACTCACAGAGATCCTCCTGCCTCTGCCTCCCAAGTGCTGGGATTACAGCATGCACCCCACCCCACCCCCGGCTTCCACCTTATTCTTTTGTGAGTCAGGGTCTCTCACTGAACCCAGAGCTCACCAGCTGGCTAGGCTGCGTGGCCAGTGGACCCTGGGGATCCTCCTGTGTCAGCCCCCTCATCTAGCACAAGCCATAGATGCACGCCACCGTACCCACTTTCCGTGACAGTTCTGCAGCTCCAGACTCACGCTGGCACAGCAGGCACTCTACCAACTGACTCTTCTCCCCAGACACCCTTCCCCCTATTTTTGAGACAAGGTGTCTTACTTGGGTACACTGACTGGCCAACAAGGATCTTCCGATCTCCCTCTCCCCAGTACCAGGATTACAGGTGCACACTGTGCCCAGCATTTTATAGCAGTGCTAGGTACCTGAACCCAATCCCTCCTGCTTGTAGAACAAGTACTTGAGCAACAGAACCATCTCCCCTGACCCTAAAAAGAGGTCTTTTTGTTTTGTTTTGTATTTGAGACAAAGACTCAACCTTGAATTCACTATATAATCAAGGATAACTATGACTTTCTAAGTTTTCTTCCTCTACCTCCAAACTTCTGAGATTACAGGCATACAACATATCTGGCACAATTAAAAATAATAATACTTGGCCAGGGGATGGTGGTGCATGCCTTTATTCCCAGCACTCAGGAGGCAGAGGCAGGTGGATCTCTGTGAGTTTAAGGCCAGCCTGGTCTACTGAGAGAGTTCTAATACAGCCAAAGATACACAGTAAGACCCTGTCTCAAATAATAATAATAACAGTAATAATAATAATTAACTTTTGCCAGGTATGGTGATGCACACCTGTAATCTTATTACTTGAGAGGCAGAGGCAGGAGGGTCATAGCAAGCTCGCAGGCAGCCTGGTCTCCATTTCAAGTTCCAAGCCAGATCGGATTATGTAGTGAGACCCTGTCTCAAAAAGAAATGAAAAGGAAAAGAAGACATACAGTCAGCAAATGGCACACGAGCACATACGCTTCACATCATCAGTCATGACGGAAATACCAAACGGAATCTCAGCGTGAACACTTTTCTCCAGCTGGCTTCAAGTAAAAACAACTCCAGAAACTATCCAGTACAGGCGAGGGTAGGAAAACCTGGAACTCTCCTAAAGCTGGTGGGAGTGTAGACCGCCACAACCTCTTTGGAAGCAATTTGTTTTTACTGTTTTTTTTTTTTTTTTAAGATTAAAAAAAAAAATTTATGTGTATGTATCTCTGCGTGAGAGTATACCACAGGGGTCTGGGTGCCTGCAAAGGCCAAAAGAAGGTGTCAGATCTTGGGAAAGTGGAGTGACAGGTAGTCATGAGCTGCTGGGGCCCGAACCCAGGTCCTCTCCAAGAGCAGTAAGAGCACTTAACCACAGAACGGGTCTCAGCCCCAGGGGACAGTTTCTGAATACTTACGTTAGAACCTACGGTGCAACCCAGGTTTTCCATCTCAGATCTCATATAGTCACCCAAGATAAAGAACTTACATACGTGGCTGGAGAGATGGCTCAGAGGGTAAAAACACTGGCCTTTCTTCCAAAGGTCCTGAGTTCAATTCCCAGCAACCACATGGTGGCTCATAACCATCTATAGTGAGGTCTAGTGCCCTCTGCTGGTGTGCAAGTGTACATGCAGGCAGAATATTGTACACATAATAAATAAATGTTTTTTTTTTAAGTTTCTTTAAAAAAAAACTTGTACACAAAGGTTCATAGCAGCTTTATTTGTAAAAACAGAAGCTAAAAAACTATCAACAGATGAATGGATAGACAAACAGAGATCATAGTTTACCTATATGGTGGAATGGACTTTTGACATATGAGACCAGAATGAGTGTCATATGTAAACATCAGAAGATTTGATATGGACACATATCATAATTATCAGACTGAGCAAAGCGTGTCATATTGGGGGAAAAGGTGAAGGGGGACGTACTGTATTGTTATATTTATTTAAAACTTCACGACACACACGTGTATCTCGACCTGTGGTGGCCCAGGAATGGATGGGTTACGGGAAGGGGCCGGAAAGGACTGAGGAAGGAGCAATGTGCTCATTTGCACCTGCAGTGAGCAGTGTGCGGCTGGCTGCCCCTGTTACCAACCTGTGCACCTGAAGGAGGTCAGTATGCTTCCATGGGAGTGGACACGAGCGCAGGTTACTCCAAGGCCCACTCTGAAGCAAGCAGGCAGCCTGCACAGTCCTAGTCATGCTCCTGGAGTCTTTCTTGGATGCTGAAGCCACTTAGCCTGGGGTTTACCATGCCAGCCTGGCAAACCCCCAGGCACCGGGGCCCACCATCTGGCATTCCACCATTCCTATTTACCTGCCAAGGCTCTCAGTGCATGGGGGCTCTCCATTTGCCAGAAGGTGACAACGTCACAAAGGACACAATTTCACATTAGGGACAGAAGGCTCCCATCGGCAAGCTCGGTCTTGCCACTTAGATGGAAGGGCCATGACTCCAAGGCTTCAGAGGGATGGGTGAACTATGAAAGGCAGGTGCCATCTGGGCATAAGGACTGAGAAGGGCAGCCTTGTGTCATGGTTAGAGCCTATCTCTGAAGCCAGTCTTTAGGCGAGTCGTGGTTCCTCCAATCACCAGCTGCTTGGTCTCTGGAAACGTTACTTAGTCCCAGTGCGTGTTTCTTCTCTAGATGGGCCAGTGACATCACCCAGTTCACTACCCACCATGGCAACAGGTAAGCTGAGTCAGACAAAAGGCTTCAGTGTTGCTTAGTTCTTAGCAGGGAACCTGGCCCATAAACCCCCAGCCAGCCGGACCGTGTTTCCAACAGAACGGAACGCTCACGGTCTAAGAAGCCACTTTCAGCGTTTTCCCACACAACTGCAACACCCTCAAGGGCCCCTCAGCCCGGCGAGGGGGAGGATGCCCCAGAGCTTCGGGATGTTTGGAGGCACTACATAAAGAAGCCGCTATGCTTCATGAGGCAAGTCTTTCAAGTCCTGATACCACAAAAAACTCTAAACTCAACACGTAACTCAAGACGACCAACCATGCTCCTCAGAGGCCATGCTGGTCCCTAGCTCCAGCCAGATGTGTAACAGCAGGAAAGTCAGGTTTGGCCGAGATTAGGGAGCCTTGACAAGCTTTCTGTGCGATGTTATTGGGACCTAGACTCATGGCTGCCTCTTGCCTGGGATAGCTGAGTCTGCCCTAGGCTTCATAAAAATCTTACATCAAGACTCCTCCACCTCACAGCAGAGAGAGCATGACTATCACCTACAGTAGCCCAACTAGTCAGAGAAGGCTTCAAGAGAAGGATCTGAAAATGTTGGCCCTTCAAGTAGTACCAGGTTTAAATTGGGATGGCTCTTATACAGAATTGTCCTTTTTCTATTTTTTTTTCTATTTTATATCCCGATCGAAGCCCCCTCCCTCATCTCCACCCAGTCCTATCCTCCCTCCCTCTTTCCCCCTATCCCCTTCCCCTATTCCACTGAATGGGAGAGTTCTCTTCCTCTGCCATCTGACCCTAGCTTATCAAGTCTCATCAGGACTGCCTGGACCCTCTTCCTCTGTGGCCTGGCAAGGCCGAATCACCAGGGGGAAGTGATCAAAGAGCAGGCAGCTGAGTTCATGACAGAGGTGGTCCCTGCTCCCCCTACTCAGAAACCCACATGGATACTGAGCTGTGTATGAGCTACATCTGAGCAGAGGGTCTAGGTCTTCTCCATGCATGGTGTTTATTTGGCATTGGGAGAGAGGGAACAGGACAGGAGCCTACCATAGAGGTCTTCTAAAAGGCTCCACCCAACAGGAGATTGAAGCAGATGCAGAGACTCACAGCTAAACTTTGGGCAGAGCACAGGGAGTCTTATGGAAGAAGTGGGGATAGAAGCTAAAAAAAAAAAAAAATCTGAGCCCCAGGGGGCCCTGCAGAGACTGATGTACCAACCAGAATTGTCCTTAATAAAGCAAAATATGGTCTAGTAATGGCTTCTCTGAGGTAGGTGAAGGTCAGGTAGACTGCCTAGGAGACAAGCCTCCTGTAGATCTGGCTACGTTTCTAAGATGGTGATTCAGGAGGCTACAATGTTACTCAACCACAGTCCTAAAGAACCAAACGGAGACAACAGTACTTGCTGTCCTCCCAAAGGACCAGAGCATCTACATCAAATGGTTGACAATGGCCTGCAACTCCAGTTCCGATGATCAGACACCGTCCTCTGCCTCCTGCGGCACCTACAAATGTGGCATACACTCTCACTCACACCATGAACAAAAATAAATCATTTAAAAAAAATGGACGAAACCAGGCATGATGGCTCATGTCTATAATAACAATGTGTGAGACACTATATCAGGAAGATTATGAGTTCCAGTCCAAAATCTATTCCAAACCATACAGTGAAACATGATTCTACCATTAAAAAAATGCTTGCCAGGCACAATGGTGCACACCTGTGATCCCAGCAATCTGAGGGCAGAGGCACGCGGATCGCTGTGAGTTCAAGCTGATCTGGTCTACAAAGAGAGCCCAGGACAGCCAAGGCTACACAGAGAAGCCCTGTCTTGAAAAGCCAAAAGAAAAGGAAGAAATGGTGCTCTTCCAAATGCTACATTAACCTTAAAAACACTGCGGTAAGTGAAAGAGGCTGGACACAGGTCACATGTTACATAATGTCACCAACGTAAAGTGTCCAGAACAGCCTAAACCATAGAGATGGTCAGTAGATTTTTGATGGCCAGGGACTCAGGAAAGGGGGGAAGGGAGTGACTGGTAATGGGGGTTGCTGTTGGGTGATGAAAATACTATGGAATGAGACTAATAATCAATCTATAACCATATCACCTAAACACACTTGACCTCACCTGGTTCAGAGGCTAAGCAGTCAGGCTTGGTTATAACTTGGGTACAAAACACGGATGATATTTGCATCAACACTGTGATTGTACTAATAGGAAAAAATTGAATGTTACATTTTAAAATAAGAGTTTTGCCCAGTGGTGCTGGCGGTGGCGGCGGTGCAAGCCTTTAATCCTAGCACTTGTAAGGAGGAGACAGACCGATAGATCTCTGTGAGTTCAAGGCCAAGCATGGTCTACAGATCGAGTTCCAGGACAGCCAGGGCTGCACAAAGAAACCCTGTCTCAAAAAGCATTGTGTGTGTGTGTGTGTGTGTGTGTGTGTGTGTTGTGTTGTGTAAAATGGAGAGTTTTGTGTTACATGAATCACATCTCAATTATATCCCAATAAACAACAATAATTTTGACAGCCCTAGAAGACCTCCCTGATAAGGGCTTGATTCTTCCCCTGTCCCGTCTACCCTCTTGAGACTCTTACACGGGCCAGCCTGCCCCAAGGCATAGCCTTCACATCACTGCTGGCCGCGCCTGGAGGCCAAGCATCTGACTGCAGAGCCTCCTCCCTCTAAGCTCCGCTCAGGCAGCCTTCCCATCTCTGCTCCACAAGTGTGGCAGCCGGCCCTCCGCCTTCAGAGAACTGGCACTTCCGGGAAGGCTATCAGCCAAGCACCAGGGCCTCTGGAGTGGTCGTCACTCAGTAGGGCTGCCCTCACTCCAACACTCACCTGCGGGATGAAGCCACAGCAAGTCACTGTGCTGAAGCCGAACTTGGACACACCCTGGGGCTCAGCACTGTCCGCCCCACAGCCTGTCAACAGAAATCTTGGTGTCATGAGGCTCCTCATCTTCCGTGGGAACCAGACCCTGGGGAATGCGCCACAGATCTGGCTGGACGCACACAAACAGCTCAGACAGCAAACACGGGTGAAGCAAGGGGCCCTGCACGTTGATTAGCCTCCTCAGACTTCATACCCGAGGGCAATGGGCAGACCATGGGATTGGTTGGTGAGGAGTCAATGCTGTTCATTTACCAGCTCCACTGAAATTACTTAATCATCTCATTTCACAATGACGATGGGGTTGGAGAGATGTCCCCAAGAGCACTTGCTGCTCTTCCGACGGTCCCAGCACCCAGGCTGAAGAATGTACAACTGCCTGCAGCTCCACCTCCAAGGACCTGCTATCCCCTTCTAGCTCCAGCAAGTACCTACACACACAGCGAACTTACCCACCGTGCTCTCCCGGGCCTTGGCCTTCTCCCTGAGCTTCTGGTTGTAAAGGTGCAACTCTGCCATCTGGTCCCCAAGCTTTGATGCCTGACTGCGGAAAGGAGAAAAGGCGACGGTTAAAGCAAGCAGCGCCGGGCAGCATGTCCTGCTCTGAGAGAGCAGCTCTCTGTGAGAGTTGCTCTGAGAGAGTGACTGTGACCAGCACAGTAATAAAGCCTTTCTAGAAGGACAAAGCATTGTAAGAGTCCTGGCGACACGGCCCCGGCACAGACCCTCAGTCAGGGAAAAGGCCTCAGCTCTCAACAGATGTGAACTGAAGATAGGGAGACCTTGGACACTCACACGCTGAGATCCAAGCTGTGGCAGCCCTTGCTGATAAAACTTTGAGGCCTCCTTTATCAGAGTCTGTCCTTTAACGTTTTCTACACGCATGGTTGGAATGGGGGGAATGAAGAACCCAGATAATCAATTAGCCTCTCTCAGTCAGTCCAGATTGGGTTAGTATACTATTTAACCCAGAGCAAGGGACTTTTCAAATACACTTACTTCATGCAGGCTCATCACAGCTAAACTAACCAAAGGAAAACAGCAGTTATCTTTGTCTTAATTAAGAATGGGCTCTGGGGTCTAGAGAGATGGCTTAGCAGTTAAGAACACTGGCTGCTCTTCCAGAGGACCTGGGTTCGATTCCCAGCACCCTCGTGGTGACTCGTACCTTATGTAAATCCAGGTCCATGGGATCCAACTCCCCTCTTCTGGTTTCTGAGTACACAGACATACATGAAGCCAAAATACCCAGACACATAAAATAATTTTTAAAACTTTAATAGGGAAAGACAAGTTGGCTTTGTTATTCTTGTAAAAGTTGAAGAATTAATAGAAGTTTCTCTTTCAGGATTTCAGGTATAATAAGAGAAAACCAAATAATAATAATAATAATAATAATAATAATAATAAAGGATGTATCCTAGCGTCTGGAGCTGAAGAGATGGATCGTGAGCTAAGAGCACCTACAGAGGGATCGAGGTTTCCAGTACCCACATGGCAGCTCAAAACATCTGGAACTCCAGTTCCAGGGGATCCGGCACCCTTATCTACCTTCTATGCCACCAGACATGCACATGCTGCGTGTACATGTGGGCAAACATACATATGTAATAAATCTTTATATATGTGTGTGTGTGCGTGTGCGTGTGCGTGCACATATACATAACTTATAAAAATCTTTAAGAAATGGACTCCGACGGCTAGGCATAGTGACACAGGCCTTTAATCCCAGGGCTGGGAAACAGAGGCCAGCACGGTCTAACTAGTGAATTCCAGGCCAGTCAGTAAGACCTAAAAAAACCCTCTGGAACTTGCCTGGGTTCCGTGAGCAGCTCAACAGAGACTGCTCACTAGTACCCCCGCCCCACCCCACCCCCGGCTCTCTACCTATTTCACCCGTCTTCTCTGTCTGTGTCTCTGTTTCTCTGTGCCTTGTGTCTCGGCCTGTCCCTGCCTCTTTCCGTGTACATGTGTCTCTTTTTTCTCTCTCTCTCATGTCTCTCTAGGTCTATGTCAGTCTTTCCCTGTCTCTTTCTCTTCCTGTCTGAGTGCCTTTGTGTGTGCACATGGCTCTCTCCTCCCATACACACATGCTCTCACCTGCTCAGGCTCCTCATCTTCAAATGCTCCATCACAAAGACAGCCCCACCTCCTGGCAGGTCGATCACCTTCATGGGCTTAGGGACCCTCACCAAGCCAGTGCTGCGGAGGGCCTCCAGGCTCGCCATCTCTCCCTCAAACATCTGCCGGGCCTGCAGCCAAATGCCATGAGCTCTGTCAGCTCTGCAAACCTGGGCTCTTACCAGGGCCTTGCTAGCCAGACCAAAGAACTCACGGCACAAGCCACAAAACCAAAAGTCTTCGGTTACTGAAAAGCAACGTCACATTTGCCCCTCAAGGCCAGGGATCAAAAGAGACCCTTCAGATAAGAAGGAGCTAAAAGGACAAGCCTGGTGCCAGAACTCACAGCGTCTATGGGAAGACCCACAGAACAAAGCCTTGCTGTGGGAGATGCACAGTCACAAAGGGGTGGAAAGGTGGGATGGGAGGAAGGTGAGCTAACAGAAATCTGAGGCTGGCTGGGCCTGGGTTCTCCAGGGATTGCTTTCCTTCCTGTCTCTAAATGGGGGCAGCCAGCCTTAGGCCTGGCAGAAATTATCTGGACCTATATTTGGGTCAGAGAAGGCAGACTGGGGAGATCTGTAGGGCCAGGCTCAGCAGGGACCGGAGAGCTACAACAGAACCATATACCCAGCTTGTCCATAGGCAGCAGCTGGGACCCAGAGGCTCGTTTCTAAGCCACTTCTATAAATATCCCATTTATTTTTAGGCAGACTTTCAGACTGTTCACTATGGCTTGGTAAAAACATGAATTTTATTTATTTACTTATTTATTTGAGGTGCTGGGGACTGAACCCAGGAGACTGTGCATACTAGGCAAATGCTCTACTACTCAAGATTTCCTCAGCCCACTCCACCCCCCAAAAGACATGCATTTATTCATGGGGTTTGTGAATACTTCTACATAGAGAATCTTTTTTTTTTAATCAAAGGTAGATGGCACTGTGAGTAAAAGCATTCAAGCCTGACGGCCCAACTGTGGTCTCCAGAGCCTACATAAGAATCCAGATGTGGTAGTTCACATCTGTAATCCCAGCCTCCCACCACACAATGGCAGGCAGAGGCAAGAGAACCAGCTACAGTCTTTCAGGCCAGCTGGCCTGGAACACACTGTGTGGCAGCAGAACCAACAGAAACCTTGCCACAGAAGAAGGTGGAAGGACAGAACCACCTCCCAAAAGTTGTCCCCTGACTTCTATGTGTGTGATGGCATGTGAAAGCCAGGGCTTTCACACACATGCATAGACACAAAATAATTGAATATTTTATTATTTAAAAATGAAACAAAGTCAAAACCACTTATTATCACACATGAAAATAACTCTTCCCTTTTAACTCAGGTTTTCAAGGGGGAAAGTCAGACAGGTGTCCTCAAACTGCCAACCTGCACGTGGGACCAAGAGGCATGCGCTAAGCATGCTGGGGGGGAGGACATTTGCAAACCCACCCATGCTTCTAGGTTTGCCAACAGTGCAGAGGATGCTGGGTGATGCTACCCCCAGGAGGGACTGGGAAGGGCTGCTCCGGGCTTCTCTTCTCTGCCTCGGCCAGACCTCCTCCCCACAGAGCCTGGACCCTCTGGAGTCCTTCCTCCGCAGCGGGGGAGGCACCACGAGGAGCCGTCAACAGCTTGCTCCCACGGGCTCTGGCTACATTCTCCATTTGTCTTACAGTTTTCCAAGCATTCTTTCGTTGTTGTTAGTTTGGTTTGGCTTTTGTTTTTGAGTCAGCTTCTTCTCATATAGCCCAGGCTGGCATGGAACTCACTATCCTCCTGCCTCAGTATCCTAAGAACTAGGAAGACAGATCATATGACGCTATGCCTGACCCCATAGATTCTTAAACAGGAATATCTTAAGGGTCCTAGAAACCAACAGAGCCTGGGAAGATAGTGCTAGCCTGGCACTGGGAATCCAGTCTCTCCCCACCTGTTGGGAGAATGCGGGAGCTCAGGTCAGAGCAGAGACCAGACATGGGCAGAAGCAGCCTGCAGCTGAGACTCGTCTCTCCCAGCGATTACAGAAATGTAAAGCCCTTGTGTGGGGGCAAAAGAAAATGATCTTGCAGCAAAGGAAACCCCGGTCCTAAGAGGAAGTCTGCCTGCCTGTGCCGAGCCCTCAGCAGGGCGCAAGGACACGGGGCCTCGTTTCCCCTACCACTTCCTAGAAAAGTGCGGTCCTCTTCCCCTCCCCAGACTCCATCCTGGTACACCCGGCAGCGCACCTGCGTCCTGCGGTTGACCTTGACAAACACGGGGCCAGTGTCTGTGTCGTAGGCATAGCCCTCGCTGATGCAGCCGGCCCCGGAGCTCCCAAAGGCCCGCAGCGTCCTGGTGCGAAGCTCAGCGCGCAGCAGCTGCTCCATGGAGACCAGAAAGCGGGGAGATGACGCAGAGGACGGGACTCGGGTACCAGAAGGAAGCCCGGGGCTCAGCGCGGCGCGGTGAGGGCAGGGCTGGGGGGAGGGGGTGCTGCCGGGCGGCCACAACAGTCTGACTGCGCAACCGGCTGGCTCCTAGCTAGCCAGCTCTCGGGTGCCCGCTATCCCTGCATGCTCCTGGTGCACGAGGGCTGGGGCGGTAGGGGGAAGGGAGGGAGGAGCTGGACCAGACAGCTTTCTCCACCCCGGGCTGCTAGGGGAAGGAGGGCTGCAAAGCCTTCAGCGGCGCCCTCCAACAGGCTCAGTCCAGTTTCTACTCCAGTTTGACTCACCCCAGGGGAGCGGGACCCCACAGACCTGGCACTGGGTGTTCTGTAAAGCCGGGGAGGTGGATGGAAAGGGTGACTTCGTGTCCTTACGGAGGTCCCAGCACATCTGCACACATCAGGGTCTGCCCTAGGCCCTGTGTCCTCTTTACAACTGGGCAAACTGGGAGTGCACGCCGGAAGGTTTGTGCCCGGGCTTCTTTATCCTTGCCACGCAAGGCACAGCCTAGAGACTCGGCTATCCTATGGAGAGGCTCTCACTGCCCAGATAGGGATGCCCTAGCCAGGCCAGAGTGGCACCATTACCGCCCCAGGGCTGGGCGATAGAGACTGCTCGGGGATAGCAGCAGCCTACCCCGCCCAGGGTATGAGACTCTGGATCTCAGACAGCCATGAAGGAAACAAGCTTCAAGACATACCTGCTCATGTGTACCCGGGCGCGTACACATGCATACAGGAACACGTTCACAGACTGCCATAGGGGACAGTCTGTGCTAGCCCTCCGCTGTTTAGGGGAGCTTGCGAAAATCTCCGCAGAGCTGCTGAGGCCTCCCCTGTGCTGTAATGTCTCCGAATGAGAAGATTAACTGGCTGGATGACCCGTGGCTGAGCTTTCAGACGTGCTAGGGCACAAGGGAATGTCAGCTAAGCCCACAGATACCCTGTGGGAGGGCCCTATAACTATCCCCACCACTCTTTGCAGAAACCAAAGCACAGAGAAGTTAACTTGCACCAGACCCAGTGAGAGACAGCTCAGAACATTAGAAGCTGAGTCTGGTTTGGGGCTCCAACCTCTGAATCTTAGCCTCAGGCCTTCCTGGGACAGGATTCCCAGAATGCATCCTAGGAAGTCTGTCTCCACCATGCTGCTCAGGGTTCCCCTCGTGGCCTGACAGCTTCAACCGTTCCCTTATCAGACACCCTCACAGTAAGGGTGAGGTTACTGCCCATGAAGCATATGAAGAGATAACACCTGTGAGGCCTCAGGGGGCAAAGCCTGTCAGTGCTGGCCATCCTCATGGTCTTTGTGACCTGTCCCTGGCTCAAAATGGAGGCGGGGTTTCCCTGGAGGCTCTTTAATAACTCCTGCATCTGCCACCTATGTGGGAGGACTGGAACCCAGGCTCAGCAGACACCATCAAGCAAGAGACGTTGATAGGTCCTCCTAATGTGGCTCGATCGCTCCCAATCATGGAGGCCGGAGCAGGCCTCTCCAGAGCCAGGGTTCTAACCTGGTTCTAAAGCCAAGCACCATTTCCACCTCTTCCTCTGTGCTGGGTCTTCCATGGCTCCAGGGACTAACCTAACGGGGGCCGTGAGGGAATGAGGAAAAGACAAACGTGAACACACAGAAAAGCTGGGATAGGGTGGACTGGCCTCTCCAATGGACAAGCTTCAGGATTCCAGAATCTCAGTGTGTTTGTTATCCACAGCTGAACAAGTAGGCAGGGTTTGTGGCATGCAGCTAAGTCAGGAGGCAGCTTATACTGACTCAGCAGGAAGTCTCTGAAGGGGAGCAGTCTCCAGGCAGTGAGTATCTGGGAGGAGAAGCTATGGCAGACATTTTCCACATGTGCTGTCAACATTCACGCTCAGACCAGAGGAAAGTTCTGCTATCTCTCTGTGCTTTACCTGGAAGAAAGGCTTTGCCAAAGTCTCGTGGATCTGAGGCTGTGGTGCTGATATTTTAGGCTCATGTCAATCCCACAAACCCACTCAGGCCTTCTCTGCTGCCCACACTACTGGTTATGATCCTTCAAGACCACACCAAGTAAAAACACTTGACAGTGAGGAAAGGTCACTCCAAAGGCAGCTAGAACAGCCATCCACAGGAAACATACCTGGTGTCTCCACTTGAGGCCAGTCCTACCTCTGACCTTGACGTAGCATTGAGACCAGTGCATGCAGAAGCGTTTTTGTTACTAGCTGACAGATTGTGTGTGGAATTTCAGGCTGCTCAGACAACTCTCTTTAAGACTAATGAAGCTCCAGTGCTTGCCAGCCTCAAGCTTCAAGCTTTTGAGGTTGTAGGATCTGTCCTCTCTGGGGGCTGGAGGGCTCTAAGCTGCTTTGTGTAACTGCTGTCTAAAAATCCAAGGGATGTGTTTCAGGTGAATCTGTCGTCTATTTCTGAACAGACTTTTAGGTCATCTCAAAAGGAAAGCCTCTCCTCTCACAGTCCCTTGAACTTTACTTCACACGGGCCATGACAGGTTACAAGACACCCAGAAAGAACCTGTGAAAACAGGACACAGTGGGTGGGGAAGGCTAGGAAGAGGCACTGAAATTCAGAGGCAAGATAGCTGGGATCTTAAGTCTCCTAAACTAGCAGTCGGGACAATTTCATGGGTGTCTATGACAGTATTGTGAACAAAAACAAAAAGCAAACTGGAGATGAGGTAAGGAGAGGGCTGAGGTGGGAGAGGAACTCAGTCAGCTGAGGCTACGGGAGACCCTGTGGTGGCTGGAGGGAAAATGTCCCCGGTAGCTCAGCTGTTTTGAATATTCCGTCACCAGTGGATAGTGCTGTCGGGGTAGGGTTAGGAGCTGTGGCCAGCTAGAGAAACTAAGTTCCTGGGGGTGGGCTCTGAGGCTTGAAAGCCATGGCCATGCCAGGTTCACTCTCATGCCTGTGCTTGCAGTGAGCTCTCAGCGTCCAGCGTGAGCTGCCACGCGGTTCCCTCCATTACAGGCCCTCTGTAACTGTAAGCCTAAGTCAACTCTTTCTTCTAAAAACTGCCTTGGCCATGATGTTTTTCCATCAATAGAAAAGTAACTAATATGATCCCCATTCAAAACAGAAAGAAACAATCATCCTACCTATTTATTATCACAATACAGCATTACAATGTGTGGCAGCTTGAATGCTTGGCTTGGCCCATAAGGAGGGGCACTATCAGGAAGTGTGGCCTTCTTGGAGAGGAGTGTCACTGTGGAGGCAGAATTCGAGGTCTTACAAATGCTCAAGCCACATCCAGTGGGAAAGTCTCCTGCTGCCAACGGGTCAAGATGGAGAACTCTCAGCTCCTCCATGTCTGCCTGCACGCTGCCATGCTTCCCACCATGATGACAATGAGCTAAACCTCCAAACCTGTGAGCCAGCCCCAGTTAAATGTTTTCCTTTATAAGAGCTGTCGTGGTCGTGACAGCTTAGGGTTCACAGCAATAGAACCCTAACTAAGACACAATGTTTTCTGGCAAATGGCTAAGATAAACGTTGAGTACATAAATGTGGAAATATACTCATCTCAGGCTTCACTGAAACAACTGCAATTTTATTAAAATTTTTAGGCAAAAAGATTTCTCAACATCAGTGTCATTCATCAAACCTCCCATTTCTACAATGCTGAAAAACAGAAAAATATTAATCCAATGTCCGTATGTTTCAATGGAATGACAACTTTAGAAAACAGCACAACGCTGTGTGGTGGCAGCTCACACCTTTAATCCCAGTGCTTGGGAGGCAGAGAAACAGGTGGATCTCCAAGTTCAAGACCAGCCTGGTCTACAGAGCGAGTTTAGGACATCCAGGGCTACACAGAGCCCTGTCTTAAAAAAACAAAAAAAAAAAGGAAGAAAAGAAAAAAAGAAGGAAGGAAGGAAGGAAAGAAGGAAGGAAGGAAAAGAAAAAGAAAGGAAGGATGGAAGGAAGAAAGAAAAAGAAAGAAGGAATGAAGGAAGAAAAGAGCACAAAGTTGGCATAACAGGAGTATTTCCAGGCTTCTAAACTTAGCCAAGTTACCTTTAAGGTTGGTAGTTTGGTCAGTCTACAAGGCAATCTCCAGAGCTACTCAGCTTAAAGCAGGGTCCAGAAGTGCTACATAAGCAAAGGAATGTCACCCATTTTAGAACTGGTCATTATTCTAATCTTCTAATAAGATGACGCCATGTCTAGATCAAGCCTAAGTATCACAAAAAGTCGCTGTGCACAGCTCAGAAATGGTAATTCCCACGGAGGAGCTGGCGAGTGGTGCAGTGGCCTCCCAGCACAGTGGGCGCCTCACTGCGCCACACAGTCTCTCACCCTTCTTCACCCCTGCAGCAGAGCGTGGCTCACTATACCTGAACTTCCTAAGTCTGTGTTCACATCACCAGTGAGGCCTAATCTAGCCAGGAAGTCTTTCAATGTGCACATAACCTTTCCTCTGAGATAAGCCATACTTTACAAAGCTTATGGCCCACCGAGTCAACTGACAGGGACACAGGGGCTGGGAGTGAATAGGGAGCCTGCAGGGTCTGACCTAGGTCCTCTGTATGCACGCTATGGCTAAGTTCTTTGGTGTTCTTCTGGGAATCCCAACAGTGGGAGCGGGGCCCGACTCTTTCACGCTATGGCTGAGTTCTTTGGTGTTCTTCTGGGAATCCTAACAGTGGGAGCGGGGTCCCGGCTCTTTCACCTCTTTGTGAGACCTTCTCCTCCTACTGGGCAGCCTCATCCAGCCTTGATGGGAAAGTATGTTCCTGGTCTTATTATAGCGTCTTATGCCATGTCTGGTTGATGTCCCTAGGAGGCCTGCTCTTTTCTGAGGGGAGGTGAAGGGGGGATGGGCCTGGGGGAGAGAGGAGAAGACAGTGGGGAAGGTAGAAAGGGGAAACTGGTAAGAATGTAAAATATGAGAGAAGAATAGGGGGAAGGGGAGAAAAAAAGGAAAAAGAAGCAAACCATTACAAGATTCTAAGCAAGTCCAGCCACGGAGTAAATGGGAAGAATTCATGAGAATGGGGAGTGTGGGGAATCATGAGCTCCTTGAGCAAACAGTTGGAATCTGGTCTCTTGACCCTGAGGCATTCCCCTCAGTTCACAGTGGGACCTGTGATGCTAAGACTTGATCTAGATATACCGTCATCTCATTAGAAGGCCCAGCGCACTCACAGGAACTCCTCCCTCCGGGGGGAGGCCAGCTCACTTGCTGAGATTCCTCATTATGTTTAAAGAGGATCCTCTATACCCAGATCCAAAGTGATTCCAGTGGTTCAGATAGTGAAACAGCTGATAGAGCTGCAAGCGCTTCTCGAATCCGGGGGCTTTAGGGATCTTGCTATGGTAGGCAGAGTAAAAGGAGCTGCTGAAGCCCCCAAACATGCCGGCTATTGCAAGCTCATATTCTGAGTGGCCGTAGAAGGATGCTGGGTCAAAAATGATGGGTCCAGAGGAATCTTCTGCTACATTCCCTCCCCAGAGGTCTCCATGAAGCAAGGAAGGTACAATCTCCAGATCGCGGAACAGGTCAGGGATCTTCAACTGCAGGGAGCAAGACAGAGCCTTAAACAGAGCGGTCGGTCCGCAGAAGTAAACTTGTTTTCCATGTATCTGAACAGGTGCTCAAATGTGCCTGACTTAGAGCAGACGGGACACTGCCAAGCTCTACGCTTCCCATCCGGAAGCAGACTTAGATGCCACCCCTGCCTTGGTGCCCGCCCTGTGTCAGGGCTCGTGGTGGCGTGCTGCTGGCACTGTGCATGTCACAGAGGCCCTGCTCACCTGCAGGGCAGACCACAGTTCAAGAGCTTCCCGGTCCCCACACTTCTCCTCCACCATGTCTATCTGGGGCTGGATGCGCTGCCTGGCGTAGAATGTGACCCAGTCCTTCTGCCAGTCATTTACCTGCACAGGTGACAGGAAAGCAGGAAGCAGAAGACATCAGAACTGAAGCAGGCTTACATGCCCAGAGATCCCAGAGTAGAATGGGCTGCAGGAAGCACGAGGCAGCCACCGGAGGCTAAAGGGGTGAGGGGTCACCAGGCAACATGAAACACAACACAGGCCGAGACGGTCAGCTGTGTGTCCTGGGAGGAGCGGTAAGCGGTGTGTGCCAAATGACCACGTGCAGCCTTCCCAACAACTGTGGAACGTAAATACATTATAAAGCTAAGCAAAGTCAAAGTTACAAACTCTCTAATTTTTAAGCCCTGACATCCAGCATCCTAGCTTACTGTCCCTTCTGCCCGATTTCTCATCTTAATCTCACACTGAGTTTATTTCATGTCAACTTCCTAAAATTATCAGGGAAGAAGAGGTGCAGAGACGTAGAAAACCGCCCAGAAAAGGAGCAGGGTAGCCTCCCCACAGTGAAATGAAGTGGGTTCTGTGCCACTCACCTGGGGGAGGTACCCACAGCATGTCACGACTTCAAACCCAAACTGGTCCACGAAGAGCCGCTCCGCCTGGCCGGCGCCTTTCCCTTTCATAAGGAGGAACAGAAGTGAGCAGTTTGTCCCCTTGCTCCACGAGAGCCTTGGGCTCAGAGCTGCTGCCCTGCCATCAGCATGCCCCTCCCTCCTATGCTCGCTCCCTGGGATGAGCAGGGCGCTCCGCTCAGGTTGCTCAGCACGGTGTCTGCACTGGGACGCTAGCTGTGCTGGAAGCAGAACTGAGAACCACAGGGAACACGGGGACGGAGGGATGAGTAACAGTGTCAAAATAGACAGGCGAAACATGAAGTCCTTTACAGAGAAAAACATCAACCCGATAATCCATCAGAAAAGCACGTTTTTCCAGTGTCAATGTAGTGCCCCTTTTGAAAGATAAAACTGTTATGCTTTGAAATGGCCTCAACCTCATGTGTCTCCCCCAAATTAAGAAAACTCCAATCAAGTGAATTCCACGTGGCCTGAAAGCAACAGGAAAGCCAGTTTGCCAGGGCCTATTAGTAGGTCCTCATAGGACAGGGAGACAGGCTGGTGGTACTGCCAGCACATCATGACACGATGGACAGGCTGCCAGGACACATCAGCAGGGCTCTAGAGTAGGCTCTGGGTCATCGCTTTCTGACTGTCAGCTGCTCTAACAGAATCAGCATACGAGCTGCATATAGGCTATCAACTGTCAGCCTGGAAACACTGAGAAATTCCTTCAATGCTAACACTGTACTTTGTTCTAGATGGCGGCATTAGGGCTGCCATTCTGAGCCTCAAGAATGGTGTGCACGTGCAAGAGAAGACGGGGTGTTTAAAGGGGTCACTTTTCTTGAAAGCCAAAACAACTTAGGCTCCCGTCTGGATACTCAGATGTAAAACAAGCATCACACCACATGGCTTCGAGTCCAGCAACATTTCCTGTTTTTCAGTGTGTCCAGGACACAGCGTGACAATCGCCTCCATGGTGTCACCTTGGGGTGCCCATCCTTTGCTGTGGCATCAGAATAGGCTACATACAGCACTACCCCATCCCTGAGTCCCTGCTGGCTGAAGGCCCTTTTCTAAGCAGAGTCTCTTAAGGCTCATTAGCCCCTTACCCACGGTGCCGGCCTCCTTCAGGAGCCCCTCTCCAAGCTTCTTGTTCTCAAGGTGTAGATCTGCGAGCTGGGCCCCAAGCGTGGCAGCAAAGCTAAAACCAAAATGCAGGAGCTAAACAAATGGCACACAAACAGCAGATTGTTCTGCTGTCAAGGCACATAAAGCAAGGCAGATCCTGAGCATGATGTTCATCCTACTGAAGAGAGGGAAACTGGGATGCAGTGGCACACAAGCATCCTGAGGAGGAGGAGGCAGGAGGGTCAAGGGCCAGCTGCGTGAGACCCTGTGGTGAGGATTTTGGTTTCTTTAAAAAAAAACCAGTTATGCTATAGGAATACGTTTTTGTTTTAGTCCCGGGTGTGGGACGTGGGCTGCTTCAGTTTGTCCACAGCCGCTGACTCTGACTGTGTCAGGCTCTGGCAGGGCTGTGATCTTTGCCAACTGCAGGTAGTTTAACTCTGGGGCCTGTGGAGAGGGAGGAGATGGCAGAGCCTGGGAGGGCCTGTGGCTGTGGCGGCTGCTCCCCACGCTGCTGTGTTTGCTATTGCTGGTTTGCTGGTTTGCTGGACTGCTGGCTATTCTGATGGCTGAGATGGGACTTCCCCTAAGGAACCAGATGCCCCTGATGACCATAGAGTAGTCCAAAGAGGTCTATGGCCCCTTTTCCCGCCGACCTTCTTTCTTGCCTACCTAGTGTTGGGGGGATTGGAAGGGATTGGGGTAGAGAATGGTGGTCGATATAAGAACCTAATAAAATAGCTAAAAGAGTACACCTACAAGACCCTGTTTCAAAAACAAAACTGAAGCAGAGGTCCCCATCCTCTGACCATCCTTCCTACTCTGCTTAGACTTTTCGGCTGAGTCTCCAGTGAGCACCTCACTTTATAGAGTCCCCCTGTGACTGTGGTGGGCAGAGTGCACACGCCATTCATGATGTGGAGGCATCTCTGTAGTCACGGGCTCTGTACACAACACCTCAAAATCGTGCCCGATATACAATATTCCAAAACCAAAGAACCACACAGGAGAAGGAAAGCCTCTGCTTTCAGCCAGAAGAGGCAGTGGGGGACAGACCTGCTCAGGTAGCGCATGTCCAAATGCTCCATCACCAGCATGCTCCCACCTCCTGGGGCATCGAGAACCTTGAGGGGCTTGGGCGCTTTCACTGTGCCTGTCCTCAGGATGGCAGTTAAACTTGCCATCTCACCTTCAAACATTCTCTTAGCCTGTCAGTAAACAAGGAAGGAGGAGGCTGAAGTCACCAGAGAAAGAGCGGTTAGTCATAATTTCCTCTACTATTATAACTTCAAATGACATTTACGCTGGACAGAGGGCTCAACAGACACAGTCCGCTCTCTCAGGGTACTTGGCACAGGAAAAGGCTAGAAGTGCTCAAGTCACACAGGCACAAGCAAGCCTGTACTTTCCAGTTTGGGACTGCATTTATTTGATTTTTGTTTTTTGAAACAAGGTCTCTGTGTAGCCCTGGCTGTCCTAAAACTGGCTATGTAGACCAGGCTGGTCTCGAATACATAGAGAACCACCTGCTTCTGCCTCCGAGTGCAAGTGCACCAGTCAGTTAATCTTGAAGCAGCATCATCATATGAGATCAAGAGTTCAGATACCACTCAGTGGTGGTGGCACAGGCCTTTAATCCCAACACTTGAGAGGCAGAGGCAGGTGAATCTCTGAGTTCGAGGCCAGCCTGGTCTAGAGTGTGTGTTCTAGGACACCCAAGGTTACACAGAAAAACCCTATCTCAAAACAAACAACAAATTCCACCCAAGAGACAGCTGTCTCCACCTGGACGTCCACCATCACAGAGTTCTTCTTCCTGCTTGCTCATTCGTTTTGTGTTTCTGGGTTTTGTTGTTGTTGTTCTTTTGCTGCTGCTGTTGTTTTTATAAGACCTGGTTTTTCTATGTTGTCCATGCTGGCCTCAAACTCACAATCCTCTTGCCTCAGCATCCTGAGTGCTGCTTTATCATTTTACACAGAATCATTTAGGCCTGGGATCTGGTTATCTGTTAGACCTTCATCACGTATACTACTTCACAGGGTGAACGTCTAAACTGCAACCACCGACCCTACTGAACATTGCTGCCACAGGAATTCTTCTACTCACTCTCCTAGTTACTACCTTTGTGATCTAGCGCAAGTTAGTTAAGCTTTCTTTGCTTCACCTGTAAAATGAGAAAATACCACATTTCTTAGGCTTGGGCCATGATTAACTGAGGGATAGCTAACAGCCCATTCTAAGCACTTTACAAAGGTTATTATTACTCAAAAGAAGGCCAACATTTCTGAGAAGAAAGAACGGTGTCCTAGACAGAACGTTTATAGCGACCTCTTTAGAACGTGAAGAAGCTGAGCTGATACAGAGGCACTGGTGATGGAGAACTCACAAAGGCAACATTGAGAAAATGCAGATGTTTTAAAAGGAACTGTGACGTCATTAAGAAGCAGAGCTCCTTTACAGAAGCAATTTACTGCTTATGTGGTCTCAGTATTCTAAGATAAGAAAGTAGCTAGTCATGAATAGACCTATGGGAAAATTAAGCCGCAGTGGATCATTGCGAAAAACAAAACAAAATCTAGAAACAATCTAAAAATGAGATCAAATCAATTTCTTAAGTTCACAAGAGTCAAATGAGAACACTCAAGTGAGAAAAACAACTTCGTCCAAGCAGATCCTAGCAATGCATAAGAAAGCAAAGGGAAGGGCTGGAGAGATAGCTCAGCGGTTAAGAGCACTGTCTGCCCTTCCAGAGGTCCTGAGTTCAATTCCCAGCACACACATGGTGGCTCACAACCACCTATAATGGGATCTGCTCTCTTCTGATAAGCAGGCACACATATGAGCAAATAAAGTGCTCATATGTATAAATAAATAAATCTAAAAAAAAAAAAGAGGAAGAAAGCAAAGGGAAGAGCAGCCAGGTAGCCTTAAAAGTCTTACCTCATAGCAAGCAGAACAAGGAGCTATTTCCAACAAAAGTTATATTTACAATCACAGTGCACCTACATAATTAATACTGTATGTTCCAGATCGAGAATGACCAAAGGAAAAGGAAGACTGGAAGATGGAAAATGCACTTTGAAGTGGAAATGACCTAGCAATGTGACTGGCTTCATGGCTAAAAGTGCATACTGCTCTTGCAGAGGTCCCGAGTTCAGCTCCCACGTCAGGCAGGTCACAACCACAGGGAAACCCAGCTTCAGGAGGAGCTGATACCCCTGGTCTCCGTGGGCACCCACTCACACCCACATATACACACAAGTGTATCGTCAGCAGTGCGTGCTGGCTAGTTAAGCGTAATACCACCACTGGACAGGCTGAGGGTTCCAAAATGAGCTCCAGGCTAGCCTGGGCTACATACAGGGTGAACTGTGTCTCACTTCCTGAGGGAAAATGCAAGCGAGGAGGTGCTTCTCTGTTAGTTCAAGGCCAGTCTGCAAATTCTAGGCCAGCTAGGGCTAAATAGTGAGATCCTGTTTCAAAAAATAAAACAACAACAAAAAGATAGAGACAGACAGAAAAGAAAGAACCCACACTCAACTCCAATCAACAGAAAACATTTTTTAAGACCCATCAGCAGAGTTGAGAAGGGAGCTCAGTGAGGTAGCACTTGCTCAGCATGTACTGTGCAAGGCCCTGGGTTCAACCTCTTCCATCACCCAGAGGGGGCACAGAGGTGTGTGTAAAGGAGGGCGCTGATGAAAACAGCGGGCGAGAGCGAAGCGGAGAGAGCTGCAGAACATGGGGGGACATCACTGCCCCACCACGTGCTGGTGCAGGGCAACATCGCGCTCCAGTAACTTCAGGGGCAGCCGACAAAGCTCAGCTGAAGACAGAGGCTGGAGGCAAGTCTTGAAAAATAATGCTACTTCTAAGGTTAACACTCGTGAAAGCAAGCCAGGCTCGAGGCTCAGACCCGTGATCCCAGCACTCAAGGAGGCCAGCGTTGGCTACAGAACACACAAGGAGACCAACAAGCTAAAGGATCTGAGCCCAGGGGGTCCCGCAGAGACTGATGCACCAACCGAGGACCGTGCACGGTGGACCTAGACCCCCTGCTCAGATGGGGCCGACTGTCAGCTCATTCTCCATGTGGATCTCCGAGGGAGGGGAGCAGGGGCTGCCTCTGTCATGAACTCGCTGGCCTGCTCTTTGATCACTCGCTCATGGGGAGGCGGCCTTGCCAGGCCAGGAGGAAGAGGATCCAGGCAGTCCTGATGAGACTTGATAAGCTATGGGCAGGTGGCAGAGGAGGACAACTCCCCTTTTCAGCGGAGTAGAAGAAGAGGATAGGGAAAGAGGGAAGGAGGATGGGGCCGGGAGGAGTTGAGGGAGGAGGCTTCAATCGGGATATATAATGAATAAGTTGTGAAAAATAAAAATAAAAATAAAAAAAGTAATAAAAAGCACTCTGAGGGTGTGTGAGCTGTAGGGCTGGGCAAGAAGATAAACGCCTTCAGTCTTATTCAAAAAGACGCGGCCAACTCCTACGTAAGCCACCCACCCCCTTCCACCCAAGCCCGGAGTGGACGGCGGCAACCAGGAACACAGCTGAAGCACTGGGGCTCATCCTCCGCTGGGCGCTTACAAATAAAAGCCCACACTCAAACAAGCATGGCTGGGCGAGTGCCTGGTTTCTGATACCTTAAGATCTTTGATCTGTACGTTTTAGTCTCCGCGGGCTAAAACAAGCCCCGGATAGACGCGTGTGCGCTAACGTTTCTCAAAACTAGCCAAACAAAGTGGGCGCCGCAGTCTCGGCATCCCACGCGCCGCACGCGCGAGGCCGCTGCTGCCAGAGCCGGCCAGGGCGGGGGAGCCCGAGGCCAGGGGAAACCGCCGGGCTGCGGCGGCCACGCGCGGGCAGCGAGCGGCCAGAGCCCATCTCTGCAGACTGAGCCGGCCCGGGGTCGCAGGGGCAGCGCCGGACCAGCGCCGGGCGCCCCCGACCCAGCGCCGGGCGCCCTACCTCCGCCTTGGAATTCACTTTCACGAACACCCGTCCTCTGTCCGTGTCGTAACTCTGGCCCTGGCTAATGCACCCGCCTCCCGAGTGACCCGCAGCTTTGACTGAGCTGTAGCCCAGCTCCTGCTTGAGCAGCATCTCCATGTTCGCTGCGGGGCGACGAAGCGGCTTCAGGCCTGAAGCCCGTACAGCGACGGGGCGGGGCAGGCGCAAGCCCGTGACGGGATTGGCTGACAAGGAGGAAGGGGCGGGGAAACCCTCGGAGGGGCGTGGCCTGCTGGTTAGGGGCGGGTGACGCAGAGCGACGTCCAAAGGTTCCCTCTGGCTGCTGGAGGGCTGGAGGCCGCGAGAAGGCTCGGTTCAACCGGTTCAAACCACTCCCCAGAGGCTGTGGAGTCTGAGGGAGGGAGGCTGCCCCCGCCTCTCCGGGTCTACCCGACCCTACGGACCCGTCCGTGAAACTGTCGGTGGGGTGAAGTGGGACCCTGGGGCTGGGGGCGGCATTTCCCTGGCCCGCAGGCCCGCAGGCCCGCAGGGAGGCTTCCCGGCGGCCCGTGGAGGAACCGGGACCAACACGCAGAGTCGTTCCTCACGGAGAGAGTGCATAACCTCTGAGCACACTGGTAGCACCCTGCTGAGCTCCGTGCTGTCTGAGACCACGCGGATCCTCCCTGTTGGTCCCACTGCTCGAGAACAAGACACTACCTCAATGTAAAGCCAACTTTAGAGCAAGCCTTAACCAATACTGGCCAAGCCCGTGCCGAGGGCCCCGGGGAAGTGGTCCCAGTCACATTTGGCAGGGTCTTTAAAAGGCAAACCCCACAATTCAGCTCCAGTCAGTGGCAAGCACACACTCTGACGTATTTCCTGCCTCCAGACCTCCCGCCCACATGCGGTCAAGCAGATCTGGTGTCGTTGGGTCAAATAAACTTCTTTACTGGAGTAAAAACGTGGCTCTTAGGTTCCATAGACAACAGCCGCTATCTTTCCAGGCAGTATCTGTCCTTGGGCAAAAGGAGCGAACAGGTCATGGGCATTTTCGTTTCACGGACCTCTGAAGCAGAGTAATTAAAACTTAACACACAACATGGCTCTCACAACGTCACACGTGCCTTACAAAGAGTTTCGGCCTGCTCACATCGTAAGCTTTATTGGGCACACGAGATTAAGTCAATTTTCACCAGGAAAATTTTCAGCACATTGTGCTGTGACTACAATACTCCTAAACGAACTACTCAGGATCAGACTTGAAGCTTGAACCAACAGCAGCTCCATAGTGGTGCTGAAAAGAACTGCCTTCCTGCCTCTAGCTGCCTATGGTGTCCGCAGAGGACCCCTCAGGCCCTCCCTTGTCCTAACTGTGGGGTCAAAGGACCAGAGGCAAAGGGGAAAGCACCCTGACCCTGACTTCACCTCAAGCCTAAGATCAGGGCCAAGGAAGAGAATCACACATCATACCAATGGCTGAGCATGAAATCCCACCACTCCCTATGCCTGCCCCAAGACCAGTCCACAAAAATTCCACCAGTCCCCGGGCCAACCTGGAGAGCTGCGCCGTCCCCACCTCAGGAAACCCTGCACAGCCCTGCCATCTGCTGAGCTTCCAGCTGCTTTTCTCCAAAGAGACCGTCTGGGGTTTCCCTCCCGAGGAGTACACCGTGTGAGGTTTGCTGTGTGGAGAGGCTTCGTGGAGCAGAGCTGCAACCCTTCCCCTGAGGAGACCTTCCCAGGCCGGAGAGAGCCGCAACAATTACGCTGCGCAACCCGGCTGCTCATCTGCCAGCCTTCTGCTCAGCGGGGAGCGTGTGAGGAGCGTGTGAGGAGCGTGTGAGGAGCGTGTGAGGAGCGTGTGAGGAGCGTGTGAGGAGCGTGT